CATTCACCGCTGTGCCTACAATCTTTGTACCGAGAGAATTCGCGCGCCTGCTGGCGAGTTCCATAATCGATGGAACGACCTTCCGGTGTTTTTCTGGGTGTTCATTGGCTGTTAAACTCCTCCCAGTTGGGAAGATTACCATTTAACTTGCTTTCAACCTCCTCATCATATTATACATAATTTACCATTTCCTTTCATCTTTCATTTGTTGCCGATGACACCCCCTCGTTCAACTCTCATTGCGTGTCTACTCACACAGCTGGCCAAGAGAAGTACAGCTCACGGTAGCTCCCATTTTCACTGTGCATGCGAACATCTGTAGTTACCGTTTTCACTGTATGGACACTTCGCACCCACCCCAACTTTCTGCCATCTGCACGGTTCCCCAGGGTGCTGCCATCTGGTGCAATGTTCGTTTTTTGTTCCTCTGCACAATTCTGATCACTGGATGTAATTGTTAGTGGCTTTAGGATACGAACATCAAGGACCCGGGGCTTCATGGCTTTGTTTAGTCAGGGTTTCTTCTCTTCACCTGCTTGCCGGATTTCAAACTTTTCTTCACTGTGAACCTCTTGCTAGGCCCATCACTTCGGCCATGTATCTTGATTATTTCACCACATTTGCACTACCGTGTCACTTTTACTGCGCTATTTGGCGTAAGATCTCATCACATTTTCCTCTTTATTCTCCTGGCCCCTACCTCCTAGAGTACGTCGAAGTCAACCAGGGTCGGGTGATTGTATGTCGGGATGCTGCCAAAGGTCGCTGCACACGTGTCCCCTGCAAATACTATCATGTTCCATTACTGGCCATCTCAGCCAATCGAAGCCTCGCTCTAAATTCCGCCTTGGCCACTGCCAGCGTGCCTGCTAATCAGAACCTTTGATTCCTTTGAATCACTGGATCGTCATCCTGAATGGAACACGAGGTGTACCTTTTTCACGGAGGTGATATTTTTCTATTTATCACACAGTTATTCATCTTCGTCTAATACCCTTCCAATGGTGCCTAGTCTGCAACGTGAGACATCGTTGGCCATGAATTCTACCCAAACCAGACATGGCTTCACCGGACCTCTCATTGATTCATGTATCTGTAAACTTGTAAATGCCACCCTCGATTTGTATCAAGTTAGTCCAAACAGCCGCAGAAGGCCCTTTTTCGTACTCTTCCTTCATAAACATCTACTCACAATAAATGTTTACTAAACTGTACTGTCTACGGACCTACGTCCTTCTTTTCTATTTCTGCACCAATCACCTTGTGATAGCTGCTCCATCCAATTCCAACTTTTCTCTCCCCTACTCTTCATTTTTCTGAGTGCTTTTGCTCAGTTCAAAAGCCACTTTCGCTCTATATTCATTGATAACTTCCACAACTTAAGCTATACGTGGTTTTTGATACGATATTTTGAATGATGTTCCTGTACTTGAGTGCCTTTCCTACCTTCTTTGAATGTGGGTTCGTGCCTTCCAATTATCCCGGGGCTTAACACAATTATTGGATTTTCCCATTACAATCAACTGGCAATCAAATCAGACCAAACACAAACATTTTATATTGAGCTACACTTCCAGACTTCCAGACAGGTCTGATTTATCCTCCAATGTTTTTTTCTAAAAAGGCATCATCAATATAATCGTTATTACAACAATATGCCATTTACACCGTGAGTTGTATTCTTTACTCCAATAACACCGCAGCTACTCACTTCCATCCACTGACTCAACTGCTCGATGAGATCCGAAGTGCTCTGAGTTCGGCTGCCACGACTGGTGTTACTATGGTACTAATACTGTGGTAATATGGGAGAAATGAGAAACATCGTAACAGCAATGCCCCTCAAAATCGGCTGCGCAAAGTTAGTCGTTAAATAATGATAATAAGGGTCAGAAGCATGAGAAATGCAGGCTTATCATTGGTTTATTCACTTCACTGGGCCTTGTATGGCCTCTACCCACTGACGTAGTTCATTCCTAGCCAAGGAGGCGACGCACATCTCTTTCCGTTTGCTGTTTTGACTAGCCGTCTACTAATCAATCTGCACTTTCACTCAGCTGTGTCGCAACAACAACAATCATTCTACACCGAAGTGAGCAGTATTGGGTCCTCGAAATACATGACCTTGTCATCCTAAGCAGTAGGAGTTCAGTGGGCTGACGATTTTTCACCCACGTAAGCCACAGGCCGACGGTCTTCGACCAAACATTGATTGGCGACGTCAACGTTGCTAAATTGTTGTCCCCACCGGATATGGACGAGGCGTCGGAGGAATCAGTGGTCAACCGCGACATTCCACCTCATGTCTTCAGCGCGAACTGACAATGTCTGCTTCGTTCAGCAACGCTCGTTGCATTACAGCTTGCAGGCTCTAGCCATGACAGATAACCTGACATCCCACCGTCTCCATAGACGATTGAAACATCGATAAGCCATGGCGGTCTTACCGTCTCTTCACAGTAATCACCAGGAGCTATTTTCTTATTGGAGGTATTGTGATGCCCAGTCCTGTTGTGGCGTCTAGAACTTTGTGGATGGGATGCACACTCGAATCATCCAACACTGCATATACAAGGGGATTGTGTCTGGTCCTGACAGATCCGTGTATTTCGGGCCCTACTTTCATCATTGTCCATTCGGAATGATGGGACAAGAGCGGGTCATTGTCCGTTATCACTGTCACAAATCTGAAGAGAAATGAGTACAGTCCTGCTGCACTCCACATGTAGTGATGAATTATTTGAAAAGGATTTCTGTTACCCTTCATTCGATGTCTATTTTACAGGGCCCCACTATAAGTTTACTATATGCGGCGAGCGCTCAATCCAGTGAGTACCGGGGCAAACGGGTGTCTGGCTTCCGTTAACTGTCATTAAGACCTGGGAGCCGACGCATTATGCAACTGATGCCCAGTCTGAGAGGGGAGATGTTCTCCAGGCCAGTGTTTCAATAACTTTCACCGAACAATTCCGTCCATTTTATATTTTAAGCCGTTTGATAACCGTCAATCCTCAGATTCCTCTCGCGTACCTGGTATATTGTCGATGAGAACGGTTGCAGTGACAATTAGATCAGTACTACGATGTTATAACGATGCTAGGTTGAGCGCTTGGCCGCTCTTTGGTGCAAACAATCGTTGCACTTTGTCGATGCCTCTAATCGGTTCAGATTCCTGGACAAACAACGGGTGGGCAGCTGACCGAATGAGTCGCTGTTCGAAACGGTTGACTAATAACGACCCTTCGTTGCTACCGTTCGTGATAACTAGGACAGCCGCGTGATGCGTCAGTTTCATCATCTTATAAGATGCACTGCTTATTTTATCAGCGTCCACAACAAGCACTTCACGCACTGCTTTCCGGACAGTATAGTTCGCCATTATCTACATTCTTACGTGCTTAATCGGGTTTGTATTGCCAACTAGAACGAGTTTGAGCTCGAGACCGTTGCTCGTCGAGTCGCAGGTTTCCAACTTTTACTATGTCGTGATATTCTTCACCTAGTCCGTGCTTGTGTTTTCTGAACTCACTTTGCCGGCCTCATCGGTCGGCACAAATCCACATCCTTCATGTGCTCCTAGTCAACAGCTTTTGACTTCCGAGAAGCTTTCCTGTATGTACACCAACGCTCAAGGCTTGCTGAGTAGATTTCCCGCAGTGCGGCTGTAACAACGATCCAAAGTCTGCGACCTCATCGCTAAAACGGAGACATGGTTACGCCCTGACATAAGTGACATGGAGATCGCACTGCCATGCATGTCCATTGTTCGGCACGACCAACCTAGCAAAGGTGGAGGAGTGGCTCTGTACTTCCGCAATGACATTCAATGTTGGCTCATAGCGGATCCAGTCAGCACGGTGTAAGATTCCCTTTGGTGCCGTATAGGTTTAAAAGGCACCGACACTTGCTAACTGGCGGTCATTTACCGTCCTCCTTCCTCCACACCCCAGATGGACTTCTATCTGGCATCCACAATAAATCAGTCACAATCTCATTACTGACAATTTTAACATCCACGCTCTCGAATCCCAAGTAGCTCCCGGAGAACAGTTTAAGGTCGATCTACAAGAGTTCGTCTCAAGTTACTCGCTGTATGGCCACATCAACACTCCCACCCGATTCCGAGAAAAAGCTAAGCCTTCGATACTGGATCGCATATTCACCAATGAAAAACTAATGATCGAGTGGGTGATCGTCGACGTTCTCTTGGGCCGCAGCGATTATGTAGTTTTACTCTTCGAATGCATTTACTATGCAGAATATTCCGTGGAAATTGCCGGCGCAAAGCGAAAGTATGTACGCTACGAAATATTAGCCCGAATACATGAGACAGCCAACTGGGCATTTCTGGCAAATGAGGCACTAGCTAGTGTATGGGAACATTCTGTCAACCAGTTTAACTCTCTGGTTGCCGAACTGTCAGCGACTAAGACCTTCCCCCCGAGAAACATCGTCTCGTTTATGCGAAGCAGGGCACGCAAGTCTATAAAGGTGCGAAAGTCAGTCTGGCATATCTACAAACTCTCCCCAAGCACCGAGAACTGGATGGCCTATGCGACCTGACGTAACCACTGTATTCAGCTTGTTCGCGAGGACAGAATGGCGTACCAGCAGAAGTTGGCAGTGCGTATGGCCTCAAACCACAAGCTTCTGTATCAACACCTCAACAGTCTACGTAAGGTGAAACGGGGAATTCCTCCCAATAGCGAGCGGACACCGAAGGAGGCGGCGAATACCCTGCGGCTACCATATGCTGCAATATTTCAGTGCGATCACTGGCCCCCTAACCCTATGACGATAGTTGTTTTACCCCCAAAACACTCACAAATTCTTCACAGCAATAGCAGTACTAAAATGCTGTTGAATGTGCTCAAGCACAGCTCTCTTGGAGTTGGTAATATACACGCGAAATCGCTAGCGGCAGTAGGAGAGTTTAGCTGAACCTTTGGCTTGATTTTTCCAATACTGTTTTGACAAACTGTAAGTGCCTGAGAAATGTCATGGAAGGTAACATTTCTGATGCACTAACGGCCAAGTTGGAAGAATTTAACTACCTCACACCGGAACAACATGGTTTCCGACGAAATCGATCGTGCACTACAAATCTACCACTAGCACGATCCAGCTGGAATGAAGCAGTAGACGCTGGCACAGGAGTTGATGTAGTCTTTCTCGACTTCTCAAAGGCGTTCGACCGGTTTAACCTTAGCATTCTGCTCTTCGAACTCCAGACCGTTGATATTGGGGATCCACTCCTGGGATGGATTAGAAGCTTTCTTCTGCACCAGCGGCTGGAAGTACGTGTGCGTGAATCCCTGTCAGCTCCAATCCGATTTGAATGCGGAGTACCAAAAGGATTGGTATAGGACCGCGATTATTCTTGACGTATACTAGAGATATCACACACATCATAGGCTCGAACAGCCTGCTTCATACCGATAACATCAAGGTGTAGAGGGCGATAAATACACCAGTCGATGTCACAGTACTTCAAGCTGATCTGGATAGGGTATACGCGTGGTCAACCCAGAATCTATTTTTATTCAAGGTGGACAAATGTAGAGTGCTGTACCTGTGGCACAAGTTGGTGCACTCGTACAAACTCGGCAGCCAGGAGCTTAAAATGGCTTCTGGCGAGAAGGACTTGGGAGTTTTGGTCCAGGTCGACCTAGGATGTTTGAATCAGACTGAAGCGGCGTCAAGAAGGGGTATCAAACACGTGGGCCTCCTGAAGCGTTCATTCGGACGATTCGACCCTTCGACTTTCCCCCGACTTCTCGGCTCAAACATACCTTATCATGTGGAATATGCAATTCAAATCTGGCAGCCAAGGCGGAGAAGAGATCTTGCCGACTTGGAGATACCCTAACACCGGGCAACCAAAAATCTCAAAGGTCTTTATAATTTGCCGTATGAACGAAGGCTTCAAGTGCTCGGGGTCTTCAGTGGCCAGTATCGGCGATTGCGCGGAGACCTAATTTTGTCTTACCAGATTTTGAGAGAGCCCAACCACACGTGCCGCTACTTGCTAGAGCTCAGACACTACAGCAATTTGAGAAACCATTAAGTCAAGCTAACAGAGCAGCACAGGTGTTTGGAATGTCGTCGGAATTTCTTTTCCGTCCACGTTTGCAGAACGTGGAATGCCCTACCGGAATCTGTCATATGTCTCCCACGCTGGCAGATTCCAAAGCCTGAGTTGACCGTGCACTCATTTCGCTGCACCGTCTTACCTGACCCAGTACCCATGGATAAACACAAGTATCTGTAAGAGATTTCACTGGCGGTCAAATCCCAGATTTCGTTTCACTTTTTCACCTCTTGTATGTGTACACCAGAAAGAGACACAATTATTATGAACATCCCATTTGCCGTCATTCCTTATGGATTTACCTTGGATTTACGGTTTATACTACGTATACTTCAGTGAGTTCACCGATGTAAACCCAATTTTGCTAACAATTAATTTTATATTTTGAACTTTCGCCATAACCGTCCTACGGGACTTGTTAAACATTCGCTTTTTTACCCGTATAAAACCATTGTTCCATTGGGTCGCTCGCCTTGGCGGTCGCCCCTCATGTCCACCTTGTGACTTACTTGTCGTTCGATTCTGACCATCGGTACATTGCAGATGTTCGGAATAAAGTGAAGTCAACTAGTGGGTGTTTTGCTCCTCAGGGCTTGTATAACATTCCCTCTGGGTGTGATGCTTGTGTTCCGCCGAACAGTACACATGTAAGCAGCACAGTGAGTGAGTTGATGGGATGGGCGTCCGGTCGGTCGGTCCAAATTGACCGGGGTTCTATTGATTCTGATTCTGTACTCTCCTTTTTAGATCATCCCTTTTATGCTTAGAGGTGGCCGACAGCTGTTTTGGGATCCACTATGTCAAGGTTCCTATCATCTTACTCTAGGTAAACCCGAAGTAACTTGCGCTTCTTTGCACCGATTTGGGTCGCACGCCGATATTTTCGATTTTCCGCTTTATGATTCTCTGGACGGAACATTGCATGAAGCGTTGAGGCTCATCATTGTTTCCCTCTTCCAAGCGATGAACTAGCACATCAGTAGCCTGAGACGAATCTTCACAAAAACCAAATAAATCCTCCTCCTACTTACTAGGAATTAAACTTCTTGGCCACTGGGAGTTGCGTTACTGGTCCTTTCTCCCTCCAGACTGAGTTCTACGCCACCTTGCTTTACTGCAGACAGTAAACGACATAACGCGCTACTGACACTAATGGTGTGACTGCGGGCGGTTCCTTGCATGCATGTCTGTTTACAATGTGTCCGGTACCAAGTTATCTGTGTGGTAAGATTGACTGTGACATCGGACAGTGAAAACCGCGAACAATCTGTCATGCTGATTCCATGTTATGCTTGCACGAAAACCAGCAAGCTGTGAGCATTTGCAAATCGCAATGTGTAGGCCTCTTTATTCCAAATACTTAGAGCATTTAGGTTCCGGTTCTCCTCTAACTCCTCTCCCGTTAAGGGGATATCTATGGTCATGATTTTGTCACTTACCAGTACCATATTTTGATGTATTGCTGCCGATGATATGGATGCGCCAGATTGCACACCTTAAAGTCCACCTTGCTGAAGTACTCTCTTTTGGTCTGGGATTCTCTGCAATCACGACTACTTGGGTGTGCATGCTACAAGCCAAATAGTGCCATCAGCGTTTCCGATACTCTCATCCACTTATCTATTCGTCTCGTCATTTGAGTATCATATTCCAACTTTTTCACTTTTCCAAAATGTCGCCTATCAAGTGGCCGGAACCATACGGCTGGTAGGCTGTAGCACCTGAAGCACAACTAGAGCTATCCAGACTCATGCTGCGACCTACGCCGGTATCCTTAGCCATCTACGCAGACTAGATAAAATATCCGTGGCGAACGTTCAGCGGTTGTTTAGCAAAATGGCTAAAAGTCACCAGTCTTGAAGTATAACTATTAATATCATTATTTTGGAACAGTTGCAGCGACCACAGAGTAACCTCGTCTCTATGCAACAGTATGCTACTCATGATTTCTTGGACAAGTACGGCCCATATATTCAAGAATGACTCCGTCTATCCTACTCACAAAGCTATGTACTGCCCTCACAAAAGACCAATCACGATATCCGTTTAGTCTTCTTAGTGAGATCATCCCCCTCCTAGAACATGCCACAACTAGATACAAGCGGTTGATATCCTAACTGTAGGACAAATGTGAAACCTCATCTTACCAACTGCAACGAGGACTTTAAACTTTCATTGATTTGCAAACGTGGCGATGGAACAATACAAACACTAGATACCTAAACACAGTGGAATAGTATTTCGAAGCATTGAAAAACAGATCTAGGAAGCGATTGATGAGACATATGGAAGCTCGTTGATCATCGGACAACTCCATTCAGCGCACAAAACAACCAGGGGAATTTTAACCTATTATTTCGCTCCCCTTCACTGCTAACTACTGCATGATTTGCTCTTAGCCACTGAGATCCGCCTGCACCGCTTATACTATTATTGAGTTGCCCACCTTTAACTTGCGCACTTTGGCAGGTTTGGCTGACTGCGCACAATTGGCGCTTTATCCTGCTACGCATTCATTATACTTTTCTGTCACCTATGCTTATTCATTCCGTGAAGTTCATATGAAAGCACAGTGCACCCACGCAATGTCATTTAGTGTATCGCTCACCCTAGCTTTCTTCTGCCCACGGTGCTATGATGACCGGAAGTGTTAAACTATGTATCGATCCCCTCATCAATGGTTGAGTCTAATCCAATCAAATTGACCATATGCACCATTCTGCGGGTGCTGGTATGTGCTCAGCCACCAGCGTCCGTATGTCGTTGTTTGCATGTGGACTTCAAAGTGCATTACTGTCTTGGAGGACAGTGTGCAGGTGACAGTTGACAATACTCCAGTGGAATTCACGTACAACTGCGTACCTCAATCCGATTTGTGTAGGGCTTGGCTCATTGAACCACTGACCTTGATATATCAGGTGTTCTAGTTGTTGTTCCACACCTTACTGGCAGTGCACGCATTGGCAACCTGTATACTAATGCGTGTCTTTTCTCTTGTGCGTGAGGTTGTCCCTGCAATCGGGACAGATCGTGAGTACAGTAATGAGCATGCTTACGCATTAGATATTCTGAAGCGTCCGTGTCATCAAAACATTCAGAAATACATGGCTTTTGTTGGTGCTGTTTTGTTGTAGTACCTTTCCCCAATAGCTTATATCCCTTAGTCCATCTTGGAAGAACTCATTTGGTGATTCGTCCGAAGAAAATCTGTTCACTATTTATTTCTGAACCAGTAAATTTCCATCTTTAAGGCGTAATATCCTTGCATTTGTGCAAGTACTGATGGTGACTGGTAGGCTATTTCACACGACAGCGTAGCTGACGAGGAAGAAGTTGGGTCGAATAGCTGTCTTAGTTCTTGGCACAATTAGTTTACAAAGCTTGTCGCGAAACCTCCGGGTGAAGTTATGTTGCAATTCTAAGGTGCACAGATTGGTTTTTACTTTTTGAGACTGTGCATGAGCATCAAATTGTCTTTCGTTCGTCGCAACTAAGTAGGCTCTAGATTAAGCTGCTGGCAACGCTCCTGATAGCTCAAGGAGGATTTATTGATCAAACGTTTAATGAACGATTTTTGCAGGTTTTCCGGAGCTTCTTTGTCACCCATACGCATGTTCCCCCAAATAATGCTGCAGTATTCAAGGACGGGAAGTGTGAGGATTCTGAAAAGTTCTACTTTACAGGGACTGTATGGATCTTATGGCATATGTTAGCCATAGCTCGTTTGACGCGTGCTATTTGATACAGCATGCTTTAGGAAATTGAAGTTTGATGAGTATCGTATGCCTAGATCACAGTTGGACCGTTTCACACAAATGCGTTGGTTATCCAGTTTAACTGGCTCTTCATGGATCAAACATCAATAGGACATGATGCATGATTTACTAACCGAACTTTATAATCCTTGTGTCGCACCATTTCTCAAGTAAATCGATGTCTTCTTGAATCAGCAACATTGTGCTCTGGAGTTCGTCTCGTCGAAATTTGCGAACAATCTTAATCTGATCGGCGAACAAAGATGGACTCCTACGTGTGCTTGATATCGTTATATCGTTTATGTGGAGTAGGAAAAGGGACGGACCAAGTACACTCCTTCGGATGATCGCTAGTGACCAGACGTGGGGAAGAGGAATGGTCACTCAGAGTGACTATCTGGTAACCTCTAGTTAGCTATGATGTCAACCAACCCAGTGGTGGGTTTCTGAACCCAAGCGACTCGATTTTTTCAATTGCCGCTTGTGAGGCACTCAAATGCGTTACGCATATCCG